TTCGAGTCGAGGGTGTGGCGTGTGAGGATCTCGCGTGGATTGAGCACATCAACAACCTCTGCGGAGCGTATGCATCGCTCGCGTGCATTCAGCGGCCTGCAGGGATGGAAATCGTACTTATTGGGCGATCTACCACCCGTAGATGGGGCACTCACCTAACGCGCACATAGACCTGAATGTTTTGATTCGATTTGCGTGCCTGCTGCTGAAGTTGCAGGCGTATGTTGTTCGATGTGTCCATTTTACAGCACAAAACTCAAAATTCACTTTTTAGCGCGTAAAAATGATGCCACAATGATGATATGGTGTGCGTGTGTGTGCTTTTGTGAAACTTTTGTTTCCAGCACTTGGAAATGTACACGTTTAGTCTGGTCAACTTTTTAACAGCTAAATAAAGCCTTGAAAGACCTTAAAATCCAATGAAATTCCTCAGCAAGATGTAGCACCGACGCCGCGTCGTCCGTTCAATTCAAAATGATGCGCATAACAGTGTGACCCGTTATCGTAAAAATATACCGTCCGACCCTCAGAAATATACTAAAATATACCGAAAATATACTGACGAACTCAAGTTCTGTCTGATTGATATATATATATTTTCTACAAGATATTATAATTTTAGAGCCTCTCTTGTATGGGATCCTTTATAAAAGAGGGTACAAAACAAACGGTCAAAGCGTGAAACGTAAGTGTGAACGCAGAGAGCAAATCCCCAGACACGTCGTTTAATACCATCGACTGGATACGATTGGTGCGCGCCAACGATAAATTGTTTGAAAGTGATTGAGTGATAAATTGATAAAATACCGAAATAAGTTAAGAATATATAAAATACTTATAACACAAAATCACAGACGTATTTTTATAATTTGTTACATTTTGTGGAAAAGATATAGTCGATATATCGATGGTTTCAAAAATCGAATGGTTTGCAGCCCTAGAGCGATGCCAACCCGCTTAGAATTCTTCTGCACTGCCGAGCAGCCACTTTTTGACAGCCACTGCAATGACATATTCTTTTTTAAACACTTGTCACAATTTTATTCCACAACACAACAAAAAGTGTAAATTTCAATTAAATTAGTATGTAAATTAACAGCAATAACATGTCTTCCTGGAGTTCTCGGATCTTTCGCCGAAACAAGCGAAGACCGAGTGAGTTGGCAGCGTCGCAAGCACACACCAAATATACCGCGACAACAGTCACACCAATAATACCACAATAGGAATAATACCGTGTAGCGGGTCCTCTGCAGAAAAACGCGACGGCCACACAACACCACACCATACACACGTATTGGCAAAAAAAAAGAGATAAAAACAAAAAATTAGCATAAGATTATTGCACAGAATACGAACACGTAGATTAAGTATATAATTTGTGTTGTGTGTGTTGTGTTTAACTGTAAACTCTATTGACATTGTAGGCGGCCTGTCGGGGGGTGGTAGCAGGTGCAACAGGAAGAAGATAATAATAAAAGTTCTGCTGCTGCTGCATGTGTGTGCGTGTACCTCTGCCTGCAGTCGCGAGATAAATAGGAATTTCTTGGCCATACAAAACAGTAAGACACCAAAAACAGTAAGACAAAAACATTCCATAACAGCCGTAAAATGAAATAAAAATTTACTGATAAAAAATGTCTCTGCCCCACCCCACTCCACCCCACTCTCTCTCTCTCTCTCACTCTCTGTAGATCCCGAAAATCGGAATAAACCCCCTCTAATAACCGGAAGGGGAAACGAAATGGAGGACGACAATGAGGTCTACGATGACATGAACCTCTACATCACCCCCGAGAGCTTCATTGTGGAGCCGAATGGCACCGGGGAGGTATTGATTATCGGCCGCCACGACAAGGTTACGCGAGTGCAGCCAACGGGCGGACAGCTGGCGAACTTGCGGCCCACCCGCCGCATCTGCGGTGTCCTCGGCACGATTCACTTGCTCAGCTGCGACTATCTGCTGGTGGCCACCCACCGCCTGTTCGTGGGCGTGCTGAACGGTGCGATTGTGTGGCGGCTGGCCGGATACGACATTATTCCGTACATTCCGAATGCCATTCAGCGGAAGGAGAACGAGACGTATCTTCAGATGCTGCGCAAGACGCTGGACACCAAGTACTTCTACTTCTCGTACCGCTACGACCTCACCCACACGATGCAGCGGCGGCGGGAGCTGCTCGGCCAGCCCCAGCGGCTGGGCCTGCTGCAGCGTGCCGACCCGCGGTTCGTGTGGAACGGCCATGTGCTGCAGCAGTTCCACTGCGACAAGATGGAGAAGTTCCAGCTGCCACTGATCCACGGCTTCGTTTCCGTCAACCAGGTGCAGATCAACGGCCAGACCTTCTTCTGGAGTATCGTCACGCGCCGGTCCGTCCAGCGAGCGGGTACGCGCCTCTTCTGCCGCGGCATCGACGACGAGGGGCATGTGGCGAACTTTGTGGAAACGGAGCAGATCGTCGAGTTCAACGGACAACACACGAGCTTCGTCCAGACGCGCGGCAGTATGCCCTTCCACTGGCACCAGCTGCCAAATCTGCGGTACAAGCCCCGCCCAAGGTTGATCCCCGGCAAGGATCACCTGGCCGCCTGTGCCACCCACTTTCGGGATCAGGTGCAGCTCTACGGCGCCCAGGTGGCCGTCAATTTAGTGGATCAAAAGGGCGCCGAGGGCGAGCTGGAGGCAACGTTTCAGCGGCTCGTCAGGGAGTTGGCCAATCCGAATGTCAAGTACGAGGCCTTCGATTTCCATCACGAGTGCCGGAAGATGCGCTGGGATCGGCTGAACATCCTCATCGATCGGCTGGCCCACGACACGGAGAGGTTTGCCTTCTATCACAGCTTCGACGACGGCCGGCTGGTGTCTACGCAGACAGGGGTGTTCCGCACCAACTGTATCGATTGCTTGGATCGCACGAATGTCGTCCAGAGCATGCTCGCGCGACGCTCCCTCACGTCCGTCCTTCAGAAGCTGGGCGTTCTGCATGTAGGCCAGCCCGTGGAGCAGGCATCGCGTAGCTTCGAGGATCTCTTTAAGGGCGTCTGGGCGGACAATGCCGACCTCATCTCGCTGCAGTACTCCGGCACGGGTGCGCTCAAGACGGACTTTACGCGCACCGGGAAGCGGACAAAAGCGGGAGCTCTGCAGGACGGCAAGAACTCGATGATTCGGTACTACCTGAATAACTTTGCGGATGGGCAGCGGCAGGACGGGATCGATCTGTTCCTTGGCCATTATTTGATCAACGACAACGAGGGCGGGGCCCTGCCCTCGCCGCTGGAGTGGCGTCGGGGATGGCGGTTCTTTGCCTTCCCATCGGTCCTGCTGATGGCCGTGGCCATGTTCATGATCACCCTCACATATCCCGCAGAGTTCAACACGGAGAACCTCCTCTTCATGCTCTTCTGGGGCGCCATGGTCGCTGTGAGTGCCACGGGGATCCTCCACTACGGCGTGGAGTTTGTGCAATGGCCCCGGCTCCTTCCGCCGGTGGCCTTTCGCGGCGCCTGACGTTAGTGTCGTCTAGGAAGGATCTAGGCTCTAGGATCTACCTCTGCAGCAGCACACAAGACGCTTCCACGATATGGAATCCAAACACACACAAACCTCCTCCTTTTCTTCCTCCAAATCCTGTAAACACTCGTGTAAATTCCTGAAAAACGATTATTCTATCGATTCCACGCTCTGTGTTTGGTTTTCTGTTTTCTGTTGGGCTTTCCTCCTCATTTTTTCACTTTTCCACTGGCATTTAGCAATCGACTCGACTTTATGGTAGATCTTAAGGCAAGACTTTTTCTCCTCCTCCTCCTCCTCCTCCTGATCCTGTAGAAATTCTGTAGATACATTTTCGGATGGGGGATCCGATCCGTAACGGGGTGGGGTGCCGGTGCCTCCCGCTTTTTAGCTATTGTATGTTTTTTTTTTTAAGTGCAAAGTAGTTCAATCAATCAATCGATCAAGCAATCTTTTGTAGAACCATTTAACGTGACGTTGAATAAAGTATTTTACGCATTGCTAGAAAACACCTCAAGCTCAAAGTGGAGTTTGTTCTTTAAAGATGTACATGTACATATGTATATATTTGGTAGATCTTTAAGGATTCTCTGATACGTGTCACGTTTCTCCGTGGGTTCCTTTAGAGTCAGTCTAGAGTCATGGAATGTAATGTGAAGCCTGTGATATACGCGCATCATCGCTGGTCCTAATATGTGCATCATGAGAAATGAATGAGAACACCAATCTTTAAGGATTGCATATCCCAGCATATCAGGCGTAAATCTATCCATATATACGTACTCGTATGTATCATGAGAAATGAGGGACTACCGCTATGGGATACCACATGAAACTCGGGAATTCCTTGGGACTATAAATATTCTCCAAGTACAAATCATCTTTAGAGCTTGTCATAATAGGGTTAATGGGTTAAAAGTCACTTCAATGTCAAAGGCAAGAGCTAATAGACAGAGCGAGAGGGAGAGGTAATGAGACCTGGAATGGAGAGGATCGGTTCCGGTTAGAGAGCAAATCGGTAGCAGTATGTATGGCTGTCCCGTTCTAACAAAGGAAAGAACACGTGATACGTGACACGTGGCTACAAAAAACGGTGCTTTCCTACGAGTCTTTAAAGTGAATCCTCAAGGCGGAGGGAGACCGAAAGAAAGGCCCTTCTGGGTCCTTTGAATCTTGAACCCTGAAGAAGGATTGCCTTTTGTAAATCTGTCGACTTGACATACGATTCGAGCACACGAATGTGCTGCTGGGATTCCTGGCATACGAGTATATCACATATGTACGATATATGTATGTTATTACTCAGTATATTCGCCCTGTTCGATAACCCTCAGATGAGTATGCCTTGAGAATTGCATCCAACTTGTAATGCCAATAGTCCCCCCCTTTCCATTCATTTATTTTTATATACTGTTCGGCCTGCCATCAAAATTGTAGCAAAGATTCTCAAAATTTAGTTGAAAATTCGATTGGGAAAATTTTATAGAAAATTCTTTTGGAAAAATGCCCGGAAAAAATTCATTCCTTTACATGTTCGAGTTCGTGGTCGACGATCTGCTGATCACGCGGCAGAATCTGTGCGCCCCCGAGGAGTACCCCACCTGCACGGAGATCTCGTTCCGGTCGTCGGTGTTCCTCTCCGTCTGCGACCGCGAGTACGGGGCGTGCGTAAATCCGTGTGGCCCGAAGTGCGGCAAGTGCTGCCTCTTCACGCTGGAGTCGCCGGTGACCGATAAGGATCGCATCCAGGTGCATGTCTACAAGAAGCGGACGGAGAGCTGTAAGTTCCTGATTGGTCTGTCCGATCTGGCGGCCAAGCCGATCTTCGAGCGCGTGAACGAGTCCTTCGACGCGGAGAATCCCAACTGGAGCAAGGCCCTGCAGCTGCATCTCCAGAAGATGCCCAAGCTGCGCTCCCCCAACAAGGAGATGCCGCAGGACGACTGCTACTGCTACGAGCCGCACTCCGGGCGCAGGGAGCAGTGGTGCCCCACCTCGGAGCTGTCGAAGCGCCTGCTGCCGCTCTTCAACCTCTGCAACATGCAGACGGGCAACATTGTCCTGATCATGCGGCTCGTGTGCAACGGCCCGGCGATTGTCTCCTCCTTCCCGTTCTCCAGGGTCTGCTCGCGGAACCCCAAGTGTCCGCCCTGTCCCCCCTGTGGGCCGCCGTGTCCGCCGCCACCTCCCTGTGGCAGTGAACCCGATCCCTGCGCCGGCTGCGGCTCCTGTCCGCCGAGCAGCGCCACCGGAGGGCCCATGGACAAGAAGGGCGGCCGGTGCCGCGGCTCTGGGTGTCCGCCGGGTCCCAGGCCCTGCCAGATGCCCGATCCGTGCGCACGGTCCGACTTGGATCGTCCCAAGTGTCTGCGGTACTACGCCTGCAACTTGGACAAGCAGTGCCCCTGCGATTACTGCGAGGATGAGTTCGACAGACGTAAGACCATCATCCTCCTCCTCCCGCTGTGAATCCTCCTTCATTCTGCCTCCTTTCCTCCCTATAGAATGTCCCACTGTCACCTGCAAGGGTCGCCCCCTCTCCGTCATTGAGCAGCGCCTGCAGCCCTGCGCACCTTGTGGTGGCATTCCCGCGTGGCCACGCTACGTCCAGGAGCAGAAGAAGGCCGAGGCCGAGGCTGTGGCCAAGGGAAAGGACCTGCAGGCCGAAAAGGACAAAAAGGAGGCGAAGGAAGCCAAGGGCAAGGGCAAGAAGAGGCAATCGGGAGGCGGCTTTTACTGCGAGAATGATAGTCCCGGACCCTCCAGTGCCTACGATTCATGGGCCACTGGCGGCCAATCCTGTTATAAGCCGCAAAATTCCAGTCCCTGTGATGCTTGCTGTCCACAGTACGAGTCCTGTTGCGATGCAGGTGAGTGCATTGGACTGCAGGGCTGACTTCCAGATGATCTGAGCTTTGGCTAAAGATTTCCATTTATTACATTATTCCATTATAAATTACAGACGATTGGGGGGTCCTGGGTATTGATCTTTCATCGATATTTCGATTGATTCTATATATGAGTGGAAACCCATTCAACTGGCTCACGCACATGCTCTCATTCTCTTCGTTACGATTTGTTGTCTTTTGTGCTCCTCCTTCCATGCCATCACACATCAAAATCGGTCTCTGTTCGATTCAAGTGCGAAGTCATCGAAATATTCGATTGAAGATCAAAGGGATGGAGTATTTCTATACCCGGTACTCCATATACCCATAGTCCTCAGAGACTATAGGAGCTAGAGCAACCACATTTTGTTTACAGACTCCTGTGGTATCGCCCTTAATCGAGATTGTTTCCAAATTTCGCCACACCCACTACCGCTCCCACAAAAGCGAACATCTGTGGCATCCAGATTGCTGAATCTGAATCAGATCGTCTCATGCCCAAAACTTTCCCGCTAGAAGCGATCCAAGTCCTCCAAAAAACCATCAGTTTTTTCCTCATTCGTCCAATAATCGACTGCTGCTCAAACTTTAAACTATAATCTTCGAAAAATCTCCATTTCGAAAGGGAGAACGTATCCGTTTCCGTTTGAACGTATGATAGTCCCCTCCGCAAAGTTCCGCCCAAAAGTACATACAATCTTGCGCCAATCGACAGTGTAGTAGGCCCTGAAGTACAATTCACGAGAAAACAATAGCCAAAATTTCAGTCGAAACGGAAAATTAAACCGGAAAAAGTTGGCATCGGGTAAAGCATCAATCGTTCATTATATTACAATCATTCTAGTGTTCAGTTTCGTTTCCACAAATGGGGAAATTTTCGTTGCCGTAAAAACACAAAATTCAATTCGTAAGGCTTCAAATTTCAAATTTGATTTAATTCAAACAAAATTGAATTCAAATTCAAATTGTGAAAAAAACTAAACGTCTGTTACCGTTCACTCTTTGTATTTCTTTGATAGCGCGGAAACGAGCCCTAAGGAAATTGCGCCATTTGCTGGTTAAGTACAATATCCAAATTGAGTGAATCTTCCGGGATCGATCTCCCGTATCCAAATTGAAATTCGAGACACATCCGACACAGCCCAAACTACAGACTGAGCGATGGCCAAGAAGAAGGGGAAGAAGGGCAAGAAGGGCAAGGCGAAGGTCAGTTGCAAGCTGCCCATCACCGATGCCATGCTGCAGGCGCCCCAGACGCCTCCGCCAGGTGAGTGCCCCCACTCGCTTGCACTCCTCCAGGGCAGACTGATCCTCCAGACTGATCCTCCTGCTCCTTCAGCGATGGATGACTGCGATGACTGCTGTCAGTGCGAGTGCGTGTGCGATTGTGACTGCAGTCCGGAGATTGCCCCGTGCTTCCTGCAACCGCGTCGGCCCGATCCGGGACCCGAGGCCTACGACGAGTTCGAGGCCTGCCTCAACGGCAGCGGCCTGACCATCCGCGTCCTCAAGGACACCCACAAGGTGGAGGCCGTCGACGATGGCAGCAACTTCAATCCCGATCTGGGGGCCGACGATGATCCCTGCTACCGCAACAGCATCGACGACTGCGAGCCGGCGAAAGATCCCTGTCTGCACGATCTCCTGCAGCGCAGCCCCTTTGCCCGGAACCACATCAAGCGCCGCGTCGGCGGGAAGATCATCAATCATCCCAAGATCCCGAAGGTGCGCGCGAACATCAAGTATGCGGGGAACGAGGCCTGCGAGACGGACAACTACTATGTGCCGTTCTCGAAGATCAAGGAGGCCTGCGACTTCCAGGAGGGTCGCAAGGAGTGCTATCGCCAGCGCCTCTGCGGCGGAGGGCCGCCCGTGGTGCCCGCCTGTCCGCCCGTACAGAACCAGCGGAGCTGCTGCATGCAGGTGGACCACAAGGACATTCAGCAGACAATGAAGGGTGTGAATATGGACACCAAGAAGAAGGGCATCGAGGTGAGTGACAAAACCATCGCTGTATTCCGCATTCCTCCACTCCACTCAGCTCCACTCCGCTCCACTCCACTCCGCTCCATCGATGGTTATTATGCGGAGGAATGTGTGCTCGTTTTTTTTTTGTTTTATGGCGTCGTGACTTGCCTCCGCAACTGTTGCAACTGCTGCAACTGCAGCCACTGTTGCACAACATGCAACAGCTCCAATTGTGACACACTCTCAAAAGCCTTTCCTTTTTCATTTTTCATTTCCATCTCCATCTCCAATCAGGTGTGCTACAAGACCTGCGACGAGACCGACAGCGATGTGTTCCTCGTGAAGCTCGGCAGCAAAGGCAAGTCGCGCCACAAGAAGAACATCATCGAGATTGAGCTGCGCACACCGAAGCAGCCAGTGATCCTGCCCAGCAGCAAGGTCACCGCCGAGACCTATGTCACCGAGGACCTCCTGAATGCTGGCGGCAAGAAGGGGAAGAAGGGCAAAAAGGGCAAGGGGAAAAAGAAGAAGTAATCCTCCTCCTCCGCCACTCCACGCGACGCAACCCAACCACCGGACATGACTAAAGAACTTGAAGGATTGAGAGCCTTTTTGAAGGATCATCCCACACACAGACACACCCACACACACACACCAGAGAAATTCCCATCAAAATTCGAGCAGTTTTTTTCCAATTTCAATTTTCAATTTGGCATCCCACTGACATCTTTTTGGAAACGAATATTTATATTCATATTTCGGGGAATATTTAAGCAATAAATGTGAAATTTAGAATTTGAAAATTTTAACGAATTTTAACGTGGGGGCGTTGTGGGACACATACTGCATCTCGAAATACAGCTTGAGCTCTCCGTTACGAATCCTTCATGAGAAACCCCACCCATAAGACTATTAATAAACCGAAGGCCGAAGCAGTTTCGCATCTAAAAATACATCTTCATGGATTCTTCATGGATCTCTGGCTTACCGCAGCAGCAGAACCAGCGCCCAGGCAGGGCATCTCCAAGCCGAAGACCATCTTCATCTATTGCACACCTGCAATTAAAAGACACCACAAACCGCATCTCCGGCAGAGATCGGTGCACCCAATGCAGAGGCTGGTCATCGCAAAACGAGTTGCAGAGGCGGAGGCAGATCATGAGATCGCGAGAGGGACAGAGAGAGACACGACTCGACTCGACTCGATTTGTGGTCTCTGCTGACCGCCGATCGAGACAGCGCTCCGCCGATCTGCAGCTGGCTCGGAGAGGAATCGAGCGATGGAACGTGTTTTAGTTGCGTTCAAACGCTTTAGTCTGTAAGTCTCGCCGCTTCGATCGCAAGGAAAGCTGAAAGACTGAAAGACTGAAAGGCAGAAAGGCAGAAAGACAACGAGCGAAACGAAGTAAAGCCGAAGTGTGTGTACGGTTCGAGGGTCCAGCATCGAGTGCGGACCACTTTTGAGATCGGTCAAGTCCAAGCCGAAGAAGAGAGAGTAAAGGCCAAAAAGAGTAAGAGAGGAGCGATCGATTGATCGATCGTTGGCTCTCCCGATCTCACTCTCACTCTCACTCTTTCTCGCTCGCTCGCGCTCTTTCTATCGCTTTGAAAAGCGGAAAGAAAGTAAAACGATTACTTAATCCGCGTTCCGCGTTCCAACGGCGTTCAACGGCAACACCAGAGGCGCCCCTACACCCGCCTCTATAGCCTCCATCCCAACCCCCACACCCCTCCCTCAACCGATGACAGCTTTCGGGCGGAGAAAACACAAGTATTTTTGACGGGGACAAAGACAGAAAGGCCAGCGACCCAGCAGCGATCTAACCAGAGGAGATCCGATTCACATTATCATTGATAATTTAGAAAGCGAAGCTGAATACCAAATAGGCGACTACTAGATCTGGACATCTGTCGTATCGACATCCACACGGCGACACAGCAACACCGCGACACTGCGACACTGCGACACTCTCCCATTCCCATTTCCATTTCTAATCCGGAGATCGTGGACCCACAACCACAGTTTGGTTTCAGTTACAGTCCGGGGTCGCGGCTCTTACCTTGGGGCTTTCTCCAGCAGTATCAGCAGCAGCAGCAGCAACGCGTTCAGATTGTGCCTCAAATATAACTAAAGTGCACTTGCAACATTTGGTTTTTTTTTGTACTGGTGTCTAGACCGCAAAAAGCAGTGATAATGATACGCCTCACGCTCTTGATAGTGCTCATGCTGTTGGTCAGTGTCGATTCCGGTAACAAAGCACCCCAGCACGCCGCCATGGCAGCTGCAGCATCCGATTCCATTCCTCCTCCATCCGCAACAAGCAATGTGCCACACCATTTCCATCATCATCAGCACAGCCCCAGCCACAGCAATGCCACCAGCAGCACAAGTAGAGGAAATATTCCAGTCAACGCCAGAAGAGAGGAGACTCCAAGCCCGGGGGCTACCTCTGAGGAGGTCGTCTCCAGTGGCCTCCGCGACAAGAGAGGTAAGTACTTCCTCGAGTGGGTAACGGGGCAGGGGAATGGGGAATGGGGGCACAAGTGTCTCCTCGATTGTCTCTAAATCCGTGTCACGGTCAGTCATTGGGGGTCTCTGTTCGTCCGTCCGTCCGTCTGTCCGCGTGCCCGCCTGTCTGTGTGTGTCAATTGATTGGCAAATATTAACAATTGCACTTGGGCAGATTGCCTTTTTTTGGATCAGTTTGAAGGGCTTATTGCCATGGTATTTGCATGTAGGTGTTTGGGAATTTAATTGGGGATTGTCTAGGGCTTTCGATTGATTTACTTGGAAATCGGAAATTTAAGCGGAAAATATAAGAGAAATGTGCATGAAAGATGTGCATTATTTATGTGATGGGTTTCGTTATGGGATATTAAAGAGGCTTTAACGGGAACTTAATCAATTGATAAGAAATATTATTAATGAAGGATACATATATATACCACATATGTATATTTACAAGAGATTTCACGAAGAATCCTTTACGGATAGACAGTTTCGGGGTCTCCACAATCTAGAATCTAAAGGGAGATATGACGCTGAGTAAAGGCGGAGTATAGATTCTGAGACATCCAACCATATTTGAAGAAGAATAACACCAAATATATCTCACAGAACCATAATCCAGAATAATGCAGCATTTTAAGAATAAATTAATTAAAATCGGGAGTCCAAGAATACCCTTTTTCCTATAAAAGTCTGTTTGTATCAAGTATTTGTATTAATATTATCTTAGTCAGTAATCAAATCCGTTCAATGCGTTAACGAACTCTTTAAGATCCTTTATCCCTTAGATAAAACTTGGGTATTTCATCATTAGGGATTTTTAGCTAGTCTCTCTGCTCGTTGCATTCGAAACTTATGTGTATCCATTCGCTTATGGGACATTTGTAAGCCGAATCAACGGCGAGTGGCCTCTGTTCGAGTGTATCCTTTCGCTTATGGGACATTTTAAAGCCGAATCATCTGAAAGTGGCTTCTGTTCGAGTGTATCCTTTCGCTTATGGGACATTTGTAAGCCGAATCAACGGCGAATGGTCCCTGTTCGAAATGCATGTGTATCCTTTCGCTTATGGGACACTCTAAAAATGCCCGAATATGCCCTAGGGCAAGAGAACAGTTCACTTCTTGGGATTTCCATTTATGGACTACAACAAACATCTCACATTTCTCTGCCATAACGGTAGTTCTCTTTTGGACATGTCATAAATATGTGAGTTCTACTTTGGACACAAACGAACCGAATCGAATCGAATCGCGCCGAGTCAGAGCTGATCGTCCGAGCTCAAAAAACTCTCACAGCATGGCTTCTCCTCCCCTGTATAGAATAAAGATAGACAGATAGATGGATAGATGTATTTATAATAGGCAGGTGGTAGGTGCGCGTTCAATGCCCATCTTCTCGTTGCATAAATATTCAACGATCCAGTTTTGAATATTATTTTTCACTGAAACTGTGATTCCGATTTCGAGTTCGATTTTGATTTTGATTTTTGGCTGCATTTCGAATGCCGGAATGCTGATGACCTCAGAATATTAAATGAATTATTTCAGAAGACTAGAAGAAAACAAAAAAAAAACAAAGATACAGCAACGACGACAACGCAAAACCGAAAAAAAAACCATCATATTCGTAAAATGAAATTTTATGCAAAACGCGAAATTAAGAAACGAAAGAATTATGGGGAGTGTTGTCGACACACAACCAAAATTTGTTTGGTCTTTCACCTTGTGACATTTTGGCGAGGAGACAGAAAGAGAGAGAGAGAGTAAGGGAGAGAGAAAGAACAAAAGCCGAGGAGCCATCGATGATGCCAGATGAGGCACGTGTCTCTCCATCATTTCCCCGCAAGAGGCAAGAAGCAAGAAACAAGAAACATTTCCAAAGATTAATGAGTCTACTACTTGGACGGAGAAGAAGAGTTCAGTCACCTCTCCGTCATCGCTAATTACTGGGTATTATGCCAATAAAAGACTTTGGTATTCGTTTCGATTTGCATTGGAAATACCATTCGAAATTAGCCGAAAGTTTCAACCAAAAAAATATGTAAATTTTTCTATTAAAATGTGAACAAATCTCTAAAAAATAATAAAACACAATACCTTTGAGGCTTGAGTTTCTTCGAGCCTACAACTTAAGAACTCAAGATTGGTAATTTGTCAAGATAAGGTTTGCCTTTGACGCCTCCGAAGAGACGACGGGCAGTACAATACTCTTTCTAGGTAGGATTTATTCTTTTAGAGTTTTCCATTCAGTAATGGTTCTTAAAATAGAATGAATAGAAATTAGAGATTAATTCTTACACTAGTAGAAGATTCTATGGGAATACATGAGATATTCCACTCAAAAACGAACAACAGGAGACGGCTTAAATGGTTTTGACTACAATCGAAGCTGAAAAATATTGAATAATACGATCCTGTATTTTGAAGATTAACAAGATATAATCCTCTAAGAATGCTTAAAACTTAAATATCATGAGGAATCACTTGAAAAGTGCCACTTGGGAAGGATAGAACGTTCCTTGGGGTTTTAAGACACTTTATGGTTCCATTGATCCATCCATTAATAATAAGAAAATCAAAAGTTGTATTCGCTTACCTTTTCGATACCGATGATACCAATCGAAAACCAACTTCTTCCCATACTCCTGTGAGGCCTCCTTCTGTTCGAAAGAGCATCGGAGTTGTGCCTATAAAAACACACAACATTTTCAAAGTTAATTTAATAAATCTTTTTCTAGCTTTCGGCTTGACATTGAAACTCAGCATCGAGACTTAACTTAATTATGATCTAAGCAGACAATATATCAGACGAGTGTATCGGAGTCAGAAACCGATTCTCAAGAGAGGCCGTCAATCAAATACCTGGCTTTTGGCTGCGTAACGTATACGCCGCATGGGCCTGGGTCTGGCTGTTCATGTAACTATGTACTCCAAAAGGGGAGGGGGAGGAGGTGGGGAGAACAGATACAAGAGGATTACGCAAGACAAAGAAAACAACCAAATGTATCTTTTAATGTGGATGGAATGCCGGGGAGGCTGTGGTCCGAGCAAACATTTAGCGGGGCAGGCATTGCGAAATATGCTTTTGTTTTCACAGTGCCACAGTAGCACAGTGGCACAGAGTGGCCAGAGAGTTGCCACAGAGCAACTCCCCTCATGAATGAATGCAACAACGACTGCTAATTTGACCTCTTTCCAGCGAAGCGGCAATTGCATGGCCCTCAAGTTGCACTGAAACTTCTGTTGCAGTTGCAAATGCAGTGGCAGTTGCAGATACATTAACAGAGAGGTTCTTAGCCGCAGATGCTAGTCAGAATGATTTACGGCCTACGGATAGGTTCAGTTTCTCGTACTCTCGTACCCTCGCACTCTCGGAGTAGTTTTTCTCAAGGCAGTCCCCCGTTCGCTCAACATCCTCGGCAAGTTGTCATGATTTATGCGGTGGCCTGTGCAAACGACAATTAGCCAAGTATCTGCTACAGTTGTTGCACACAGCCATAGATACAGATACACTGATGCACAGATACATATCGGAATGGAAACTGACAGACAACTGGGTCACCGAATCGTCGTCGTTGTCGTTGTCGTTGTCGTGCACCCCTTCCTTCCTTCCTTCCACCCATCCTTGCTTCTGCTGCGTGCCCCGGCCAGCAATCGACAGACAACTGCATTTAAGATCCAATAAAGTCAGGCATTTAGGCCATCACGACTACTGCTGGCCGGCCATTTGCGACTGTTTGTGTGTCATATTTTGGAGCCCACTTTTCGATTGGCCAACAACTCCCAACAATGGCACGTAAATTAGAGCTCATAATGGAGCTCCAATGGGGCCCAGCACGTCAAGGATTTACGAGTAGTACGAGTATCTGTCAGAACAATCACTCGATAATGGCACAATCATTCCAAATTCTTTTCGAGTGCGTGCCTTTGTTCGCCCTCTCGTTGTGTATCTCAAAGATACCGACCTAAGCCCCTGCCCCCGCTCTAATTTCGTTTTCGTTTGCCAGTAATTACAGCCACAAAAAGGTAGCCTCTTGTTCCATGACTTGGCTTTTTTTTATTTTTAACTGGCTCTGCGGCATTCCATAGTTTTAATGAAAATTTCGAACAACCGCTGGGTATTCAATTCGAAAAAATCACTTAAAATTTTGTTGAATAAATTGATTAGCAATTGCTGTTGATGGAGAGATGATTGAATCACTTAAGATTTCTTTGGTTTCACTTGGAAGTTCCTTTTTTTCTCTCTCTTCCTGTGGGGAAATGGCTTACAAAGGATTTCTATCACTAATTCAACTTTAAACGGAGTAAATCGGAGTTTTTTTATCGCATTAATTGAAATATAAACACCAGTCGAAACGTTTTTGTCGAGGCACAGGCAAACCAAAACATATCTTTATAATTTTCCACTTACTTCTCAAAGATGATTCTTCTTTCTTCAACACTATCAAACGTGTTTTCTGTATGGAAACTACTCTCCTTATCCACTTTTTCCTTAGGAAAATGGATCGTAACCTCTCGAAAGACCGTTAATGGCATAACCTCTTCATTTCCTCTTTCCTCCATTTCACTTTCCATTAACAAGCACTTCCAATAGCTCTCCAATTACCAAAAGCCATAAGCCATAAGCCATAACCACTTTCCATCGCACAACTCCTCGAAAAAGATCTGCCATATAGATCTCATTCCATGAAAAGAGATCCCATTGATGATTTCTCGTACCATTACGCGTTCGCGTACACGTACACGTATGAAGTGTTGCTTTTGGCGATTCATTAAGCGAATGCCATCGGATAAGCCCCCGAGTGCCGGCCAGCAGAGGCAGAGGCCTTGTTTCCACAGTCAATCTGCCACATAATGTTTCACCTGACATCTGGGGCACCCCTGCCCCCTCCCGTAAGCGGCACTCAATCACCGACACAAATGTCAGGGCGGAATTTTCAACTCATCTCAACGCTGCAGCCAAAAGAGATTCAAAAAAGAGTAAAAAAAAACACAGAAAAATATTAAAAACAATTACATTTAATTGCATAATAAATTTGGGGGCATTCCACGTGGAGGGAGCCAAGCCAAGCCGTGGCTGCGCCGTGGAATTCCGCATAAATTTGTGCCCAAAATGCCACTCAATTATGGGCTAAGGGCTGGGCGTGGCCCTAATGCCTCATGAGGCATTTAGCAGCAGCTTTTTTATATCAATTATTTGGCAATTCCCAGAGGGGCCACTGGAACTGGAAATGGAAATGAAACGACCTGCAATCCGCTTAACTGCGGGGCAGTAAAAGCACCTCTGCAATGGCCGTGGCCTTGACACAGTTTTGGCAAGGGAGATGAGGGTCCAAAAGGGGAATACCCTTTCTCTGATCAATGCAACCCCCTACAAAGGACGACTCCTTCTTCGAACGATCTCTTTATCCTTTATGCATATTTCATTGATTGCATATATATTTATATCTGAATAGCGAGAGGCACGACTCCTTCTTCCAACAGGTGACTCTTCAGATCTTCAGTCAGATATTAGCATATTTCCCTTTGGGCTTCAAGAGATCTCGAACTGCCACTCGAACCATCCCTCAGTGATCACTCATTCGGATATTACCATATTTCCATACCACTCCACTCCTCAAGACACTCCAAAAGGGCATAAGGGGTATTCCTTTGGTTCCCAGAGACAGGCCTCGTCGCTGGCTGCTGTTGATGTTGATGGATGTGTGTCACTTGAAGAAACCGAAACGATGTAATCAAAAATTCATCAAAAGACACTCAGACACTCATCTCCGTTCACATTCGGAGATCATAAACGGCTTTTTGGCTTCCATTAAATCTCCATTCCAGCAAAAGTGTAATCAAAGTTTCGTTGGTTTTTGTTTTTAAATTACTTTATTTTCAACACCTCATCTGGGGGACGTGGGACTCTTATATGATGTTGTCCCGCACTTTATGTAATTGCCAGCCCAAAAATATCGGGGGATTGCACAACTGATTCGACCCACATGGGTACACCCATGATTCGTGATTGATTTGTGATTAATCGTGCCACATACGTGTTTTTCAGGCACCAATCAGGCGGCAGCGAATGGCAATGCGGCGCCCGGCTTCCAGTTGGATCAGAGCGAGCTCCAGCGTCAGAATCAGATAACCCAACAGATATTCGCCAACTATTTGGAGCGGCGGCTGTTTCCCAATCGCAGTGTCAGCCAGAAGATCCCCACCATAGCGGACATCCTCCCGAAGCCGAAGCCATCGGCCAGGCCACGTCCCCGAGGCTTTGCGGCCAGCGATGGGGGCCTCAAGCGGAGCGGCGGCGGGGCACAGCGGAATCGGCTGGCAGCAGCGGCGGCCAAGCGCCACACGAGCAGCTCCCAAAAGAATCGGGACTTCGGGGAGGAGGAGGAGGACCAGCAGCCGCAGGCCGCCGCCCATCAGGACGACTTCGACGACGATGTCCAGGAGTCGCTGCAGAGCGTCGAGTCGGAGCAGCATGATCAGTACTATGGCAACATATTCCATCGGGATCCCAGCGAGAACGAGATCGATGCGGGTGAGTCGACAATCAATCACCCCATAGATTGAGTGATCAGCCTTCGATCGCCTCATTTCCGTAGATCTGTGGATCGGTTAGAGAGGGGGAGGCCATGCCTTTAGCCACGCTGATCAGCCATCCATCCATCAATCCATCAATCGCCGACAAGTAGTCGCTAAGTAAATTAGTTCCACCTAATGGCAGCTCCCTTCCATCATCATTATCTTTACGATAACTAAATCCAAGCCGTAAAAAACCATAAAACTGTTTCAGTTTCGGTTGGCTTTGAGGCGTTTCTCTGCTCTGCCTGAAGCTGTTGCTTCATTCCATTCCTTAAAAAGCTATTCCTGGCACTCCATTCCACTCATTCCATTCCTGATGAAAATGCCATTCCATTTAGAGCGAGTTCCATCACTCTTCCATTGCACTGCCTGCCGTTTAAGGGCATTTTCTGCCTCCTGCTGTGAATGCCATTCGATTATCCTCGACCTTTCCTTCCACCACTTAAATGCTTTACGAATCTCTCTGTTTATTTTTCCTCTTGTTTCAGCAGATTTCTAGCATTCCATTGTAGGTTGCCCCTCTTCTGTTGCAGTTATTCCATTTTTGGTCATCCCATCCTTATCTTATCCAAACGAATGTTTTCTCTAATATTATACAATTGTCCTCTCATCTTGTTTAATGTTTCATTAGTTTCCATTTACTTTTAATCATATTTCCCCGTTTCTGTTTACGTTTCCATGCATTCCCTGCGCGTTCGTACGTTCCATCCAATTAGTGTTCTGCTTCTGTTTACTTTTCCATTCATTCCTCTGTGTGCCACATCCAATTAGTGTTCCATTTCTGCGTGTTTTCCTTCCAATTACTAATCCATTTCAAGCATTACTTTTCCCATTTGACTGTTGACATTTCTTCACCTTTTTTCTGTGTGCATTGATCGCTTTGGCGCCTCCGTTTGCGGGGCCACCAGTGCGTATGATGAATGCCCTCGAGCCCTCGAACCGAAGTTTACATAAGCCGCAAGCGTTGTCTTCGTTTTGGTTTTTCGTCAGGGGCTATTTGCACAATTTTAAGGCGAAAAAATTGGCAAATATATTAAGTTTTATTTCACTTGGCCCCCCAGGGTCGGCGACGCGACGGCAGCCTCCACACCCTTCTCCTTTGTCTGCGGCCCTGAGCAGAAAATCTGCGGAACTGTTCGAAATTTACTGCCAGCAGGCGAATCTCGTGGCATCGCAACGAATCGCAGCGAATCGAACTCGAAATCGATGTCTAGAAGTAGTTCGATGACGGTATTTTTTTTTTATTTCACTTGAACGTCAAACCATCGTAAATTTATGGACCACACGGCACAACATACACACAAAACCCAAGCTCAAGCTCAAGCTCGAACCCGAACCCGAACGACGACTGTGAAACAAAAGAGGTTGTGCCATAAAAATCGAAATTGAATTTCAGTTTGAGCTTCAGCTCCGAGGAGGAATTGCACCCACGATTGGCAGCACTGGCGGCAGTGCCAGAACTTGTTGAGGATTTCGAAATGATTCTATTGGCAATTCCCCTAAATTGAATCCGACAGGCAATTGAGATAAGCACTGGGTATCGAATGGATAAATGAAATATTATGATTGCTTATTGATGATGGTATTCAAAATTAATTCTGTCGTAGAACCCACGCAGAACCTCAGTCAAACCAACCGATGGGCGCTGCCGCATAGCGCGCAACACGTGCAAGCTTTTCTGGTCTTCCTTTCTGGTTCTCCTTGATCTAGAAATTCCATTTATACAAAAATCAGTTGATGTTCAAGGAATATCGCCATCACAAGAACATCATAGCGCAGAATGTGGAAAACAAGTTCCCGGACGGACTGTCTGGTTCTTTAAATTGTTATGAGAAAGGAAGCGCCCTTAAATCTTGAAATATGTGATGAACGTCCATAAAAAAGTCTTCCTTAAATGTTTTAATTGATCTAACAAAAGATTCTTTCTTCATCGTGATTTATGGTTTTTTATGACACAAAAATCATGAAAGCTTCCAAAGTATAAGTATCCAAACATCCACTTAGATGCACCTGAAATGTTTTAATCAAACAAAGCAACAAAGCAACAAACACAAGGTGGCAGCAGCCTGGCAACAGCCGCAGAAATCACACACAAAATTAGCAACAAAAGCGGGGTTTGAATTGAAACAAACTTTCGGCGTGATGATCCACCAAAGGCCAAGAGACCTGCGTAGATTGTTTGGGGGATTCACATGATTTTGAAGGTTGTTTCAGGGGATTCGCTGGCTTCCAAGAATCGAGAAATTGGGGACTGGGAAAATGTATGCAAATCTGGCAAAGATAATTATAGAGCTATTCCATTAATAAATGGAAAATAGTAGCTATAAATATCATTCAACAGAAATGCCTTCTAATGGTTTTATAATTTCCTGTAATAGCCGTCAAATTAATTCGGTTTTAATTGTTGTATTCCGATTCTTGTATGCCGCGAGTGACGACCCCAAGCAGAGGATACTACAGATAGATTTCAATATGCAGATACAGATACGTTTATGCTAAAGAAGTTTTATATTGTGATCAGCCCATGGACCTTCGGATAGCAATGAACTCCGCCGTCGTCGTATATATCTATTTGACTTATATATTTCTTTTTCGACTGGTCTCTAATCTGGTTTCGTTTTTTTGTCTGAATGGAAATGAAATCTTAACGCAAATCGAAATAAAACACGCATTAAGTTTACGAAATCTTGTTTCTTGTTTTTCCAATTAATTAATTAGTTCGGGCTACCCCCCCAGTGGCCCGGGGCAGGGGATAAGGGGAGAAGAACCGCCACGAAATCCACGAAATCTGTAGCGAATCTTGAAGGCGATGCCGCACTTACAAGACACTCGTACCACAAAATGAACGAACAAAAATTCATCAAAAAAACACGTAAGAAAAGAGGGGCCCCAAAAAAAAGTAGCCGCAGAAGTTGATTTTTATGCAAAAGATACAACAACAAGAAAACGCTTGTACTTCAACGGTGGCACCGGCAACACCAACAGGCAACAAGTGGCTGCCACTTGCCTCCCCTGCACTCCTCTCCCCTCCTCTCCTGCCCCTTCGGTTCGCTTTGGTGCGATTTTGGTTTTGTTTTTCGTATTTCCTCACAAATTGCGGCCATTGCAGAGGGGATTCCAACTCCATGCCTCCACCTCCGGCACCTCCGCCCCCATCTGCTGCTGACATTTTGGCCCCACAAAAAAAAGTTGTCAATAGTTTTTGCTGCGGAATCAATTTTTATGGCCGAGTCTTAATTGGTGGCACAATCGTACACCCGTCCCTCCCGCACACTCGTGCGATACATAGATACATGTGTGTGTGTATATGTTTTTATAAACCCAATCGGATTATCGGTATTCGGAAAAAAGAATCTTTTGAACACTTTAATCTGCATCTGGAAATATCTGCAGTTCTTAATGGAGTGACATCTTTAATGGTAGATGTCCTCTCGATGATGATCGATGGGAGTGTAGAGGAATGCCAGACGATTGCTGTGCAATCTATGGGTCATTTATCACATAATCACCGATAAATATCGTTGGGAGAGCTATGGAACGATAGGTAATGTTGGAAGGAGATACGAAGAGATTAATTGAATACTGTCTAGCATTAAGACGCATGCAATCGATAAATATCGATAGCTGCAAGTAGGAAGAGCAGAAGATACAGAAAAACACACATGATACAGTATAACAAGGCAACCCAGTAGATCTGAGTGGTGTATGCCTTTTTTCATCTTTGTATTCTCTATTGATCAATCGATAATTTATCGATAAATATCAATTCTCTATCAATCACGAGATTCATGCGAGTTACAGGAGATACAGATTGCAATTCCCTTATTCTCTTGGAAATATGCACGAAAATCTATCAACAATCTATCGATAAACGTCGATAAGAGATCCATGAGATATGTAGACACATTCAGACCCCCATTCCCATCTCAAATCAACTCCATAATGTTTGTCTCTCCAGCAAACATCTTCATTCCGTCCCACCACCATGGTATTTCCAGTGGGCTCCACATATCTTTGTGATCTCCAAACAAACATCACGCATACGCATGGGGTGACAGCAAGCCTTATATAAAGCGCACTTCAGAGCAAAGTGAATCACAATCTAAACGAAACGAAAAACTAGTTCATCAGCAGCATGACATCAAGGTCATTGCTTGTTTGCTGAATGTGTGCGGGATTCAGTGAGAAAACAGTTAGAGGTAAAGTTTTGACCATATTCAGAGACCAATCTCGGGGAGTCCATCCATCCATCGAGGGATGGCTATGTGTTGTGTAATCCGAGAACCTTCTTCTTCTATTCGGTTCTTTGTTTCATTTCGAAACCGCAGAGAATCGAAACCAGAATGACTTTGGGGCGTACCGCTGTGGTGTTTGTTTCAGGCGTCACACACGTCCACGCTTCGGTGATGGCTTGGACCTTGGTGAGGCTTCGGCTTCGGCTTCAGCTTCAGCTTCAATCTTGAGATACCGCGTCACCCACAGCTCTGTGGAGTCTGGTGCTTGCGTCAAGTGTTTGACAAACAGTCAGGCCAGTTCAGGCCAGAGCCAGAGCCACAAGTGTCCGCTGTCCATACATGGGGATCTCGATCTCTCGCTCTGATGTTAATCTTTCGAGTTTCGTTACGGAACAAGTTCGTCTTCGAGCTCTGGGATCTCTCTCTTAAACCAGTCTTGCAACCTCTCTCTCTCTCTCGTAGAGTCTCTCTTCTCTTCAGAGATCTCTCTCTGTGTCTCTCTTTCTCTGTCTTGGGGGGGATTCTGCCTTGGTTTGAACCGAAGCCAACCAAAAACTTTAGTTCTTCGACAGCCGACATTCAGTTTGGGCGCGCGCCTGCGCACATATCTCACAGTTTTTTTATTTACTCGCGAGTATCTTTTTATTATTCGTAACAAAACTTTCGATTTCGTTTCGATTCGATTCGATTCCAAGCCACAGATAAGCATCTGCATTTTATTCAAAATAATTCATAAATCGAACGAAAACAATCAATAACCCCAATAAAATCTTAATAAACAAAATATGCACACAGCCACACAAAAAGCGAAACTTTTTTCATAAATATTTGTACGGAATTTTCAGGGTAAAAGTGTGTTTTTTTTGTTTTTTGCGGAAGTGTAACCAAAAAAAAATAAAAATATACATATACAAAAATATTTATTCATTTTTTGCACCGTATAAACGATTGAAAACATGCAGAATTATTATATTTTGTCTGTGATACTCTCGGTCCAGCTGCTGGGCAGCCTGGACACGAGGACAATGGCCATGGCAACGCCACAGAGCAAAGGAGCCGTCCAGGGTCCTGTAACGGGTATGTGTGCACACGGCTCTCTAAAAACTCATTCATTGCATAAGACTCTCCTCGCGACTCACGACTCGCGACTCACGATAGACGGTTTCCATGGAGGGAATCCTACTACAAAAAGAAAACTGGAAAAGAAACAAATTCAAAATTCACTTTCACTTTTCTCGGTTCGGGGATTGGGTGAACAGATGGATCGCTGGGCAGCCGGATGGACTGCATCCACGGACGGGAATGTGTGAAGTGGTTGGCTGCTTAATTAGGGAGATTTCAGTCGTAGTTTACGGCCAGAGAGGGGCTTCTGTTTAGGCCGTGCGTCCACGTCCGTCCACCTACTGCTGTTTTTGGTCCGATTTGGCCGCGATGGTTTGCTCTGAAAATCCAAATTAATCAAAATGTTTGCCCACCTTTTTCGTGGTGCTGTTGCTGTTGAAATGTTCGTAATAAAACACACCATTTGGTTGACATGCGAAATCGTGGCCATTAATCAATTAGTCAACGGAAAAAGTGCCCTAAATGGGTTTCCAAATTTTAAGTGAAGTTCAGGGTCAATCGTTGATTGGAATTGATTGAAGATAAAGTGATGGGAAGGAGTATTGAACGTGTCCTTAAACGAATTACTGTGAGATGTCCTGGAGTACCATCTGCTATTGAATTGAAGATCAATTTGGAGCTAAATCTGAGTTTTTCAAAGTGTCACGCGTCCTGCGGCTGTGCTCCTCGGTTGTGGCGAGGACACAGACCTTTTTGGTCGATTTGGCACTGTTTCTGCTACGCGGAGTATCGTTCAACCGGCCGATGGGCGCTCCTGCAAGACGCGCCAACACTTGAAAGAACTCTGAAATGTGTCCCAATACTTGCCCAAATCTTAGCAGAATCAACCAGTTTTCATCAATCTCTCAATCCCATTCGAATCTTTTATTTCATTTCTAGCCGCTTGAATTTCCATTTTTTAAACATTGAATTAATTTCCGCTTAATCCCCAGAAACCCATACGAGTCCACAATCTCTTTTTCTGTTAAAAAATTGCATCGTTCCAGCACAAAAGTTAATTAATAATATTTATAAAAGTCACAACATAATCATAAACACAGAAAAAAAGAAGAACTCAACTGAACCGAACCGAACCGAATTTAATTATTCAGAAATTCTTTTGTTTGCCTCTTACGTCAAACAAAAAACCGACAAAATTTGCATATAACACACAAAAATGTTCTTCTATAAAATATGTGGCAGGAAGAGAAGGAAGATATATATTGTACGTATGTATTGTTGAATGTCTGGTTGATGATGCAGATGTTTCATGCACATATCTCTCCTTTTATGGGTTCTCTTCTTGTTTTGGCTTTTGTGTGTCATGAGTTTTCTGCCGTTTTCTGGTGTTTCAACGAAGGTCGACATCTTGTGGTATAAATATAAATTTAATTGCTGGAATCAGGCGGTCAGATCAGGGTTTATCCACCGCTTAACGAGGTATCCAACGAATTGACATTGACTTTTAGCAAACTTCGGAAACTCGTTTATGATTCTCTTGCGGCTCTGGCGACTCTGGCGGCTGTTGCGGCTAATAAATCATACGAACACAAACCCTCGACGGTTTCGGCCTCTAGGAACTCTAAGCCATAATCCCCGCACAAGTTTCGGCAAATGTTTGCCTTAAAGTTTATCAAACAATTAATGAATATATTCAATTTACCGTTTTCCTATCAGCTCCCCCAGCCCCCAGCCCCCATTCCCCGACCCCAGATCTTAATCAATTTTGCACCTTTAATTGTGTTGCATGTCTGTGTGCGTCTGGCTGTCTTGCTGTCTGTCTGTCTGTCGGATGAAAGATGGAAGATGTTCGGTTCACAGCTGGAGACTGGTTTGCATTTACGGGCTCTGTGGCTTCGAGATTATATATAATTAGCAAAACTGTTTTAATTCAATGATGCAACAGGTGCGGCAGGCAGAACGGACGATCATCAGAGCGGCAGGAATACCATTTAGAGGGATAAGTATAGGGGGGAAAGGTTTCCGCTTAAAGGGCGTTGATATCTTCCAGTGGAATCTTTGAGGGGAAATTTTGTAGGAAAGGAGTGCATACCATTCAAAAGGGGGTCCTTCCATAACCGAGGGGTGCTGCCGCATGACCCGTTTACTTAAGAGTCTCTAAGCCTCGGAAACTCTCCTTTAAAAAAGGAATATTCCATAAGATATGTTATTCTACGAGGTACTGCCAGCAATGTTCCTTCAGGAACGATCCTACAATCAATAAGGAGCTTTCTTGCAGAGACTGTCGTCCTCGCGTCATGCGGCAGGGCTCCTCGGTTGGTCTGCGTTTCTAAGACAAGCTTTGGCCACTGACCATAGATGTTGCAATCTATTTAGGGATGTTGTAGGGCATTCTCCTGGTGGAAGTTTGTTTCGAGAAGGTTTCCTATCAACTTCCAGGGAACTCCATGAACTTTAAGAGCTGCAATATATCTTTCGTGTCTTCAGGTGAGAATGCTGCCTAAATTCAAGAGAACAAAGATTTACTACCGTCGGCGCCTAATATATGCTGGACACCTGAACACCTTATAAAAGGTGTCTGAATAAAACATTGCCATTGATTTAAACCCAAATCTCAAGACCTCTACGAGGCTGGCATTGTTTCTGCCAAAACAAAACACAAAACAGTCAAAATGTTAACTGCTTTTTGGCCATGTTTTCACACGGGCCTGGGCCCCGTTGGCTTGATGACCCGTTGTACGTTCATTGTTTAATTTATTTCTTTATATTTTTGGCGGAACGAGACGCCCCCAACAAACATACAACATACAGCATTCAACATCATGAAAGTTTCAGCAACATTTGGCGGAGGCGACCTTCAAACGAATGGGCCGGCAGCACATTTCGGATGATTAATTTACAGACATTAGCGGACACAGAAAAAAAAACTCCATTACGAAACAAAAGGGAAACCATTTGGCTTTCATTTTCTCTCATTTGTTTAGAAGGAATGTGGCATGTGCCGCGCTGTGCCGCCTCCCGTAAGAGACCTTCACATACTTGTGGCCACAAATCGAAACAAATGCCCGGCCTTGATTCACATTCCAGCAAAAGAGTAAAGTTCTATCTGGTTCAAGCCCGAATCTCCATCACGTCATTTGGGTCTAGGCCGCAACGAAACATTTCCAGGCGTCTCAGACGAGTCGAACGTGTTCTCGATTGCAGTACGACTACGACTACGCGTGCAAGTCCGAGTCCGAGTCCGCGTCCGAGTACGGGTGCGGGTGCGGGTATTCTTCTAGGGGGAACCAGTTCTTGAGTCTCAAAACTCGAACTCGAACTAGACTCCAAATCCGAGCCACGAGTCCGTTGTTTCCCTGTGACTCTCATTCAGCGGGGTGTCGTTCATAACTCAATTTCTTTCTCTTTCCTCTGATCCGCAATTAGTCCGCGAATGCTCAACCTTTTGTTCTATCAAAATCCGTTTATGGTGCGGTACGGCATTTAAGATTTAAGATTTACGATGCTTTTTATGGGCCATCGAAGAGTTGGTTAATTAAGCTGCCCCTCAAACGATGACTCAAACGCAGCAACAGGAGGAAGATCTTTGGTGACAGATGCATCATCATTCCAACTCGTTTTCCCTAAAGAAAAAAACCAGACGCAACGTTTTTGTCGAGGCACAAGAGCCCCTTCTGGCAGCTTTTCGATTAAAGTTTAACCAAAGAATCAATGGTACTACCCAGATCTGTAGTTATGCATCTTTGAGATGATGACCCATGTTCCCAAACAGTTGAGGCACATCTACTTTCTTTCAGAAGCGAATCTTTTCGACTCTAAGCTTGTAGTCTTCCACAGAAACAAAAGAAGATAGGATCCTTATAGCTGTATGAAATACTTAGAAAAAGGGCTCCTTTAAATATACTTCTGCAGTCTTTATCTCCAGATCTAAGGTTCTTGGAAATATCATACATATTCTAAGTGTTTTTCTTGCGAGTATCAGGCAGAATAGTTGTTTAAAGGTGCATTCATATGATTATCAATAAAAAGGTCAAAGATCAGTAGATATTTTAACTTTTTTACTTCATTTAATTATCATATAGAACATTTTATGGATGTAGAATAGTTCGCCAGCGATTATCATACAAAAAGTCCAAGATCTAAGATTCTTTCAACTGATTATCATACAGAGAGGTTAAGGTTCTTTTAATGATTCTTGCCATGTGATTATATATAAATTTAATATGCAAAGTTCTTTCATATAAATATCACAAGCAAAAGGCCTGTTTTACACCTAGAAATATCTCTGAAAGTACCTGATCTCAGATCTAGGCTCCTTCCTTGTTACACACATTTTTGACACAATATTCCATAAATCCATAAACACGCAATCATTATTACCGACAGAAAACGTTTATAACAGTTGCATAAATCATCTCACAAGCCTCCTGTCTCCTGCCTCCTGGCTGTTTCTCTTTATTTCGTTTCATTTTTCCTTGGAATCTGTATCTGTAATCCTTATGCCCGTTTTCGATCTCTATTTATAGACTGCCCGAACTGCGTGGACGAGTCACAGTACACGCCGAACAAATGGACAATGCCGCTGCTGAAGCTCGGGGAGAAGCGCTATTACCTGGGCATCTTCTTCAAGGTAAGCGGCATTCCACATTCCACACTCCACACGATGCCATGCCCCGTGCGATGGCCCATTCTCGTAATGTGGCCAATAAAGTAACCAACAAAATAACCAACCAAAAGTGCAACTGTCCAGATGCCTCAGCCGTCGGTTGAGACAACGGTCAACGGGGCTTTGCAAGTCCGGTTTGATGGGTCGGTCGTCTCTCCAGTGGATACTCACTCGTGGCAGCAGCTGCCATTTGCCGTCTGCCGTTGCCTCCGCCGTCTGCTGATTGCAAGAGGATGATGGCATATGGAATATTTACAGCAGCAGAAGAACCAGCTTTACATTGCACCGAGCAACGGGTTTTGGGGCTTATAGAAATACCAATACCATAACCAGAAACCAAGAAACTGAAGGTTTTCCAACTGAGAGTATTCTTCGGTTAGAACAAAGTCTAGTCTAGTTATCGATTGCCGATCAACAGATTTGGGGAGAGAAAACTCAAACTGTAGCCAGCTTTCAGTAGAGTTCTACCCTTTCCATTGTAGTTCGATACATTATAACGATTAACAGCTGCTGAATTGGCCAATAGGTTATTGTTAAGGACTTTCTTTCAGTTAAAACAAAAAGAACCCATCAATTCCTGCAGGTTTGAGTACAGTTCTCGCATTTTCATTGAGCTTCGATACACGATATCGATTAATAATCGAAGTGATGCACAGAATTCGTTTTTAAGGCATGAAATTGTCAAAGGAAATCGAAACAATGGCTATCCTTCAGTTAGTCTCATTGATTTAATCATCGTCACGTTTCGGCACCGTTCTCGACCTTCCAATGAGTGTCGATACATCTCGATATCGACCAAAAATCGATTACATTAACGAAATAGCCTTAGAACTGCGTTCAATGTCAGTCTGATACCTTGAGGGCCGCTCCATCAGAAGTGCGGTATCATATCAACAATAAAAAAAAAGAGGCGCGTGCTTGGCCACGCATCGCATCACATCACGTAGTAGATCTCGAATAACAGATCTTCAACCTTACTCGTATGCTGGAATATCTAGATAAATATGCGTTAGGCTTTTCATATTAAAAACAAATTAGTCAAGAGAGCCCAGAAACCGCTCGAGTCATTGGCATCACTCGATCGATCGACTCGATCGAATGGAATGAAACGGAATGGAATGGAGGGGTGTGGTATGCAAATGTGCGTCACAAACTGAATTATATTTCATTGGTGGCAGGTCTCCTTGAACTTTAAAGCCAAAGCCAAAGCAAAGCCATCAAATTGGACGAGCTTTGGCCATTGTAAACCAAATCGCATGCAGCCGGATTATTCATTGTATTTTCATTCAAAAACTAAATGAGGAAACGGAGGGCCACCATCGGTAATGGATCAAGCCACTGACAAGCAGAGTTCGGAGTTGAGGATTGATGGAGCAACCAAAGTGCACGCGATACCACTTTCGATCTCGAATATTGAGGCTAATACTCAATGGAAATATTTCGGTCTTGGGAACCACTGAACTCTGAGCCCTGAACTCTGAATGAGTCAGAGAATGGAGTTTCAAGTTATATATGGCCATCTAATGGAATAACTTCATATCCCTTGATAACTAACAAGATTTCGGGCAAATACTGTTGTCTAAATGGAGATCTTTCTTCGAAAACCTTGAGAACCACTTAAGAAAGAATTACAGATGGGTTTTTAAAGCTGTAGAAGGAGCCGTTGAATCACCTAAAGTTGTGTTCCAAGAGATCTTTCACAGAAATCCTTGGTAACTGCATTGAATGATGGAGACAAGGGATTTCAAACCTTCTTTCGTATTTTTGACGACTTATTCTTGACGCCAGGATTTCTCTAATCCATATCTTTAAATGATAGTTAGATAGAACCTACTTTTATCCTTGATATCTTTGAGATTCTGTCAGAGAAGGAAGCACAAAGTTCAGATACAGTTCTCTTCCCTCAGGAATTTCTTGAAAATATTCAAAAGAGAGGCCCCGAAAGCCCTCTACCGTAATAATTCCTTTAAAATCTCTAGGATCCCATCGAAAACTCATCTCAAAATATGCTAATTTCATTTTATAAACCCCGATTATTCACCTCCCATTGGCAATTTCTACATTATACACCCAAACAGAATAAAAATGTTTTATTTCTGGTGGGAAATAAATGTCTGAAATTTTAATGCGACATTTCAACGCTTTAATTGCAGTAAAAAGTGAAACAAAGCCAGAGACAAATCAAAAGCACACAAACAAGTAAATATTTAATCAAATTTCGTTGCATATTTTCGGTTTATGAACGTTTGCCCCCCCCCTGCGGGTTCCCCTCTCGCTTCGCGAAGAGCTTTTTGTAAATAAAACACAATTCCATTTGGAGTATGCCGCCAGATAAACAGCGGGGATTGAGAATACATTATGAGGTAATTAATTGAACAATTCCCTTCCCCTTCCCCCACCACCGCCGCAATCGCCGAATGTCTCTCATTCGCTGATTAGCCAAAAGATAGGGAAACACACATCCAAGTATCAGAACAGAAAACAGAAAACAGAAAGAAAGTCATAAATTTATCCGAAATTTGCCTGCTAACGGTACCTCTGCCTTTCTCTCCGATTCTTCAATTCGAAACGCAGGCAATTGTCAAAGCGATTAAAGTTTTAAGCATCTCGTAAGCTCAGAACATTGGCATTTTAATTTGGTTTTAATTTTTAATTGTTTTTATATGAAAATACCCTAGAGTCTGGCGGATATACACACTTGGATATTTCGTATACATTTTTTGAGGAGTCCCCCCATTCAAAAGCTGGATGATTTACAGGGAATTATCTGTGAAATTTGTTTAAAAACTTTCAAGTCTCTAAAAGGGTATTGGAGAGGGAGGCGCTCATTCGTTAAGAATACTAGTCTCTTTAGTGGAAAAGAAATTAATACCTTTGCCTCTCAAGTGAGAACAACGTTCCATTCCATCGTTTCCAAGCCAACAACCACCTTAACCTTGGCCTTAAATTCGTTGAAAATCCATTGAGCTGCTTAAAGACTTTGCACTTGGATTTCTTCGCCTGAATCCGTATCTGTTTCCTCTTCTTAAACCAAACTTCCCCCTAATTATATCCTGAATTTTTTAGATCATTTTGGTTCCTATAAATACCGCATATTAATGGGAAATTTCTGCATTTAGTAGAGCATTTCAGTGCTCAAAATATCCACCATTTAGTAGAGCATATCCTTTCAATCGTTAACCAACAAATTACCATTGAAACACACTTGTTTTTTAATGGTTCTGCTTTGGTTTTGGTTTAATTAATATTCAAAAGTTCTGCATTAATTACCGCATAGGTGTACAGCGTTTGCCGAAAGTGTTTTCCGAATATTTATGGGGAATTCGCTTAATTAAGAGTTCTGCCCAATATTTCATTTTCAACTCATTCGAAAACTCGAAATTCATTCAGTCGTTCGGCCATTTAGTGTTTCGGCTGTTTTTTATTCGGTGGCGTGGCGATACGTTAAATACAACTGAGTATTACGCAATGCAATGCAGTAATATTATGAGCAATTTGATGCAAATTTCATTTCGTGTGTAAATATGCAAATGAAGCAATTAAATTATATATTTTCGTCTTTTTTTTTCTTTTTTTGGGGGAAAATTAATGCCCGACAGGGGCAGAGGCAGGGGGTATCTCGTTACAGACGCGTTTACGCAGGCGCAAATCAAATCAAAATTTAATTGAGAGACAGAGAATGGAGGAGGGAGGAGGGAGCCAGAGGGGCTGCCTGCCTGCCTGTGGAGTGTTGGCCATGCTAATGACATTAACAACATGTCCCACATTTTGTTTGCCACTTAATTGAGTTTCGTGTAAAACTTCATTCGGTTGATTGGTCCGTGTTCCGTGCTCCGTGCTCCGTGCACCAATTCCGTCCACTCTTTCCATCCGTCCTGCCTTCCTTCCATTTTGTGGTAATAGAATTTCGTCTGTGGTTTGTGGCTTGAAGAAATTCAATTAAATAAAAGAGGAAAACCTAGAGAAATCAATAGCTCTCAGGAAAGCCTGCTCCCCAAAGATCTCTAGAGGTAGGCCTTGGAAGTATCTCCAGAAGGAAAGAAAACATGCAAAATCCTTAAGGGCTGCTTTCCACTCAAAGATCTCCCTCTTCTGCTCGTCTGTAGGAATGCTTTGGTCTAACCAAAAAATCAGACAACAACTCCACTGACAAACCATTAACCTGTCTCTGTCGTCTCCTGCTCTGCCTTAAACCGACATCAGAAACCACTGAAAGGACTCTTCGGACTCCTTCCCCCTCTTTCCTTGACTCCCTGCTTCGCCTCTGTACAACAAAAACTAATTGACTTCTTGGCGCCGAGCGAGAGATGAGCTGAACCTTTTTACAGCCCAATAAACGCTTTCACCTGCGAGAGGAGCTCCCATTAAACACCTTCTCGGCCGGTTGTGTGCCACATGTGGCATGCACGCAGCAGCAGGCGGTGGAGGTGGCATGCCCCGCTTTATTCGCGCACAATTACGGCTAATACAATTAGGGGCAAGTTAATGGGGTTACAGGTGGGCCATGGCATGCCCCGAAAGGATGTGGCCGGCCAGCGATGGAGCAGTGGCGGAGCGAGGGGGGATGTCAGGATGGCAGGATGGATAGTTGTGTAATCGATTTATGTGCACATCAGAGAGCCGCCTCGCAGCAACAGCGACCGCAAATGGCGGCAGGAAGGCAGGAAGGCATGAAGGCATGAAGGCATGAAGGCAGGAATGGAAGGGCGATGCGCCCAATCAACAGGAGATACTCTCTCTCTCTCTCGCTGTCTCTCTCTCTGTGGCACTTTCTCTCCGTTTTGTGTTCTTTTTCCATATCCCTGGCTAATGACGGGGTGGGGCGACAAAAGGGAGTCCAAAGTCCATTAGAGTTAATTGAATATGTATGTACGTATGGTTTTCGGATAGAAATTGATTCCGATTTGGCTGTCAATTTCGATGCAGAATCACATTTTAGAAAACCGCATCGCCAAAAACACTAATTGGCATCCGAGAGATACATATACATTCAATTTCCATCGACACACACACACGCCCGCAGATATATGGACACAAATACACAGATATATATCTCCATTCAACGCCCCATTTGACTTTTATTGACATAAACTTTTCAGTGGCTGTTTTTGGTGGCAGCTTGGGGGGGGGGGGGGGGGGGGGGGGCTGTGTCACACAATTATATAATCATGCAGCGCTTTGGCTTTCCATTCATCTCTCTTAACGATTTTCTCGCTTGTTTTTCTTTTTGCAGGCAAACTGGTTCAAAGCCACACAATACTGCCGCTACCATGGCATGCATTTGGCGAGCATTTCATCACAAGAAGAGAACGATAGACTGGAGAAGCACATACGTGACTTTGGTAAGTGAAACACAAGAGACACGAGCGGAGACGAGCGGAGACGCCATGAAAACTTTATCCGCAACTCTGTCAAACCATTGACACAACAGATAGACAGACAGACAGACGGACGGACTTGGGGGCATGCAACATGCAACTTAAATCACTAGAAAAGCCGATCAATATGACAATAGGCATGAGAGACAAAAGCCATTTTCAAATGGTCTGCCGACTGGTCAGCGGCACTCGACTTTCGAGCGTCTATGTGGCATAATACACGGAAGTTGGTAACCGAAAACCCCCGCACACAAAACAAGCCCCAACAAACATGCAACACACACACACACACACAAAGGGAAACAGACAACAGAGATATGCAACGCCAGAGGTTAAGCGAATGGGAATAATGGCAGCAGATGGTGGAGCTAACGAACTCCTCCGTTGCATAAATCTCCAGAGAGGGCCACAAAAAGAATTGCTAAAAGTGAATGTTGCACACTCGAATGTTGAGCGTTGAAAGCTGCAACGGTTGCAGGGCCATGGGCACAGACCACGCCCAAACTCACTGTGCGGCAAAGCGAGATGGAGATAGACACATTCAAATGGCATTCAAATCTAGGATAAAATGCACAGACCATGCGGAGGACCCGGCCCATGACCTGGAGGGTATTATGGAGAGATCTAGAACCCAATAAGAGCTCACCATTCCGCCCCATACAAATTACAGTAAAATTACAATAACTATATCCCATCAAGGTGATTTTTGGCGAGTAAATAAATACCCTTATTGTCTACAAATTTACCAAATAACAGATCTATGTTTTTAAAACTATGGAAACCACAGCATCTTCATTGAAATAATTATATCCCATGAGGAGTATTATAGATACACTGTAACTGTTAAAGATACTGCCATAATGATGGGATTCAACAGCGGTCCAGGGTGTCCAGGGTGGCATGCGGGTGTTTATCTCGGCGATTCTCCGTCAGGTCCTAGATCCTCCTGTTTGGCAGGTCCTGGGCTGGCTGTAGTTTGGCTAGTCCACCCAGGAGTCTGGTACTGGTACTGGTATTTCCCGGACAGAGAATGCCCACTTTTCCGGCTCGTTGCAGGCATTTCCACGCCTCCAAAAAACATCCTTGGCACCCCTCTCCAGTCGTAGATTTAAATACACATATTTGTACGCCTTTTATTTCATTCTGGTGGTGTTTTTTTTTTTGCACATTCCACAGGCCTGGGCCACGAACATTTCTGGATATCCGGCACGGACCTGGCCGACGAGGGCAACTTCTTCTGGATGGCCACCGGTCGTCCGATAACATTCACCAACTGGAATGCCGGGGAGCCGAACAACTTCCGCTACGAGAACGGGGAGGAGGAGAACTGCCTGGAGCTCTGGAATCGCGACGGCAAGGGCCTCAAGTGGAACGACTCGCCCTGCAGCTTCGAGACCTACTTCGTCTGCGAGGTGCAGCCGAACTAGGAGGCGCCACAGAACCCACACACAACACACAACACACGACAAAAGACACATCCATTTAGGCATATAGTGATTAGTGATCCAAGGTTAGCCGCCTTAACCCTCGGGTTACCGCGAAACTTACAAGCGAAAGTGAAAGTGAAAGTGGACGTGGACGTGGAAGGAGCACGCAATGAGAGAAAGTAGGGTTTTATGTATGTGTAATGTAAGTGTATAAAATTTTTTTTGTTGATAATTAGATAGTAAACGTAATTAAATTATAATTAGGACACTCTCCGTCTATCTTCTCATGTAAATCCGATATACAAAAATAATACAAATAAATTGTATATTCAAAATAAATCGTTCCATTTCTTGTTTTTCATTTTTGTGCACAACAATCTGAGGACAAAAAAGGTAAGAAAAAGTGATTAATATTAATTTTACAAAGATCCAATAAGATTTCAAAGAAACACAGGATAAAACAGAAAGAAGACCTTCGTTGGATTGACTTGATTCGAAACTTTAATCTTTGCAAATTAAGAAATCACGAAATCGCACAGCTCTGAAGGAGCAAAGGATGTCTCATGGGATGCATGTTCGTTGGATAATGATCTAATGACCCCCAGCTGAGGGAAACCAGACAAAACACAACCCAAATCGAATGAAAATTGCCGTAGGAATATTTCTAGAACACCATATTCTTGGATAGATAGTAATATGAATATTTACTGAAATATATGCAAAGTATCCTTTGAAAATACCTTGTATTCCCCTTCAGGGACATCACATCCCTTGAACCATAATTTTCCCGAGTGGTTTCCATTCCAAATCAAAATCTATCACAAGCTCAAGCAGCGCTTAAATTAAATAGAAATTGCACCATCAAAATATTCAATTAGATTTATGTCCTGCCCCCGCCACTCCCCCAACAGCCCATCCTATCATTTTGAGAGCATCAATTGGTGTGTATTTTTTGCCATTACACAAATTTCGAAGCATGGAAGCCGCTCATCATTTCATCATCGGTTTGCCCATGGGGTGCAACGGTGCGTATGAGCAATCCATTTTGAAGAGAGAGCGCCCAGGCCCAGCCCCAGCCGCAGCACAAACCATCCTTCCATCCATTCATTCCCTACTTTCGCTCCCTCTCCTCCCGGCAGCCCCGCCCCTCCCCCTTATACGATAATCAGGATGTTTTGCCATAATGCGCGCAAATAAAATTGAAAGTGCCTGTCGGGGCAGGAGGGTATGGGGTGTCCCTTCGTTCCACACCCACACTCTCTCTCTCTCTCTCTCTGGGGATGCAGCCACCTGTCGTCTGTGTACGTGTACGTGTGTGCGTGTGTGTGTGTGTGTGTGTGTGTTGCGGCAACTAAACACCAAACTAAAGCTGATAAAATAATCTGCTGCTGCTGCTGCTGCTTTTGTTGCTGTCACCTCCATGCCAAGGCGATGAAGACGCCACCGACACTGCCGCCGACACTGCCACTGCCACTGCAGCAAAGGACTTTGACTCGGATTTCCATCCATGATTTACTTTGTTCTGCTCCAGCGACGAGCAACGGCGAGGACCAAGCAACTTTGGTGGCCAGTCCCCTTTATCTGTCCTCGTGTCCAGCTGTTCGCCTCTGTCATTACCCCTACCCGTCTGTTAGCCCCACAGAGTCGCTGCCACCCCATGGCCACCGGCAAGGGCTAGTCTTGGCCCCCGGGGGACACCGACAGAACGTGCACAGACGACGAGCGAAAGAGCACAGAGCACAGAGCGCAGTGCGAAGAGAGAGCGAGAGCCTGGACATGCGCAGGGAGTCCTTGAAGAGAACTTCTGCTGACGGGGATAAGAGAAAACAGCTGATAGATCCCGCGCGGTATCCCGACAGCTGGCGAAGGAACAGTTCGACAGGATCTCTGTATGAAATTATCCCGAAAACATATCCACTTCCGACTCTAGGCAGCACTTTCTTGAGTCTATGTCCGCTTTTCCGGCTCTCTTTTATCGCCTCTCTATGCGATTCTCATGGGCAGCACCTAAGCTAGAGGAGTATTCGGGACTTTTAGGGAGTCTTTCTATATACATATACGATCTATTTTTTATTGGAAATCTAATAGTATTGATATTTGCATTGGCTTGCTTACTATTTGAAGCGTTTAACAGTTCGATTAATATATAGTTTTGTTTTTAATTTTTTGCAAACTTTTCCATTTTTTTTGCGGGTTCTTTGTGAGATTTGCGGGTGCAATTCAATTGATTAAACATTCAACATTGGATCGACTACTGGGATGATTTACTTGGACATCTCCTTCGACCCTTCGCTTGCACAAGATGCGCTTTTGCTGCACATCCCCAGAATGTCGTATGTCCATATAGGAATTAACACAGTCTTGTAGAGCCAACCACACGTCTTTATTAGAGCCCTGCATGAACGAATCCATTCGGTGGGATTCGCTTGGTTCGGTCCGTTCGAATCAGCGATTCTACAGCTTTTGAGCTTTGAGTCGTTTCAGAGATCAGCTTTTTGTGATTCAGAGTGATTCGAAGACGGGATTCGTAAAGATCGAGCCCACTAAAGGGGCATGTGTATATGTGTCTGTGATTTTCTGAATAATGTGGTTCTAGTGCAGGAGTTTTTGGTTATATTTTGGTTAACTTTTTACGACAAGTGGAAATTTCACAAAAATCTTTGGGTTTCCCATCAACCAGCCTGCGTCTGGCACACCGATTCGCTTAAAAAAAAAAAAGATAAAAAAACACTTCCCAAGAGAAAGAGAAAGTTCTTGGGCAAGCAGCGCACGTTCCCGTTTACGTTCTCTTTTTGCGTGCTCTCTCTCTCTCGCGCTGTTTGGCCAGAAGCAAAGAATCCAAGCAAAAACACGGCAATCGTTGGCACGAAGAACCAAACACTCACCGACTCTGACGGCGACGACGACGACGACGCATTCCGTGGATAAACGGCACGAACGAGCGAGCGGTGGGTTCTCCGGACGAAAGCATCTCCTCTCCGAAGCTCACTTCAGGCAGGCACCGTTTGCCGTTAGTTCGCTGTAGACATTTTCCCGGTGCGGACGTGCGTGGACCGGTAAACCGTTTCGAGCCGAACCGCCTTCGAGGCACACACGACACCCGACCCGAAACGACAACAAAAAACAAAAAAAAAAAAAGTACTACTAGTAATTCCTTGCCCATTCCCCGCTTATTCGGTTTATGCGGTTGGTTTTTGGTGTCTCGCACTTTAATTTCATTAGCCGTACCCCGTACCCCGGACCCCCCAACCCCCACCCCCCTAACAGAGAGGAAGAGCGAGAGAGAGAGACAGGTTGAGAACTTGAAAGAGAGGCAAATGTGAAAGCAGTGCAAATATTCAAAAGGCAAGCGAAGAAGTGCGTAAATTATGACATCCTCGGGGCAAGGGGGGCGGACAGTAATAGAAAACTAGAAGAAAGAGAAAGAGAGAGTTTAAAAAAAAAACAACAACAAAAACGAAGCAAAGCCAAGCTTGTGTGTGTGTGTGTATGCGGGTGGTTCCTCTGTCGATGTATGTGTGTCCTGATAAAATCGCAGAAAGTAAAATTAGGGCAAAATGCTGCTGCCTGCTGCCTGCTGCTTGCTGCTTGCTGCAGGGTGAGAGCAGATGAGGAGAGACAAGAGGGTCATGCGCTCGTCCGACTCCTGCGTATGTGTGCGCCACTCCCACCACTTGAGCGCCCCTCCTCGTGGCTTTAAAGTGCTTCTGTTACCCTCGTCGTTGTCGCAGCCTAATTAATTTCAAATGGCTCCTCTTTCACTCACAAGTGGGCGAGGGGCTTCTCCGCCATGCCCCATGCCCCGTGCCCAGAGCCCCAAAAATAAATCTTAAATATCCCCCTAAAAATGATTTAATACCCGCTCCCCTCCCCCGCACCAGCAAAAGCAATGCGTTTGGGGTCTAATTATTTTTAAATTGCAAAACACATTTGCATGCAGAAAAACAGAAAAACGGAAAAAAAAACCACACACAAATTTAAAAAAAAAAAATATAAAAATAAAAATAATCTTTCACATTTTTCATGGCCACAAAAACTGCCATCATCGTAGGGCAAAAACCCCTGAAAGAGGCACAAAAAATGGCACCAACCAAAAGACAGAAAATGTGAATGAAAATGGCTGGGAAATGGCAGGGAAATGGAAAATACTATATTATGCGAGATTCTGTGACAAGTGCGTTCGACACTTTTCGTTCTTTTCTTTCTGTTGTTTTTTTCCACGTGAAATGTGAGCAAATTTATGTTGCATTTAATTAAAAGGAACAACGGACTGGAAGGACGGCAGTTGCCCCGCATAAGAACGGGCTGGCAAATTGGCTGGCAAATTTGATGGTCAACAAACAGACAACAAGAGACAAGAGAGGGATCCAAAGAGGGTCGGGTCTCACATTTCTAGAGGAGAGGCGACCTACTGCGCCCACAACACTGTGCTACAAAGGGTGTCAAAATCATTGTTTTAAGAGCTTTTCCATCGCGATTGGCAAAAGAAAATTCATTTTTTCCGATAAATTTATCAATTTTGTATATGATTGGCTAATTTTTAAAGGCGTGACTTTTTTTTATTTTTTTAAATTGTTTAAAAGGCGAATGATCGATTAGAATCGATAACTCTTGTCGGGATAAACATTTTCAAGAATAATTTTTTCCGATAAATCAATACATTTGTTAGAAGATTGTCTTATTTTTAAAGGCATGACTTTATTGTATTATTTTTTTTTAAATTTTTAAAATGGTCTAAAAGGCGAATGATCGATTAGAATCGATAATTGGCGGGATAAACGTTTTCAAGAATAATTTTTTGCGATAAATTAATCAAATTTGTATAACATTGGCTAATTTTTAAAGGCGTGACTTTACTGTTTAAATTTTTTATTATTTTTTAAACGAAAAATGGTCAAAAGGTTGATTCGAATCGATTAGAACCGATAACTATTGGCGGGATAAACAATTTTAAGAATAATCTTTTGTAGTCTCAATTAAGGTAAATTTCTATCGATTTGTTTGTAAACACCCCGATTACTTATCGATTGATTTAAAGCAGTTACAGTTACTGTCCAATCAAATATCGATTAACTGCAATGAAAGAGCTCTTTCCTTGACCCCGAAAACCAAACCACGACTCAATTTTCTTTCGAATTCCGTTTGCAAGTTCATCAAAAAGTAAAGTCCTTAGCCCCAGAAACGATTGCGGAACCGCAGCTGCCTGCGTGCCTAGTGTAATTTGGGCTATGTGTTGACACGGCCGCCTATTAGGCCTTGCCGCCCTGCCGCCCTGCCGCCACGGCCCAGGCCA